CAAGTGATCCACCCACCTCAACCTCCCAAAGTGCTGGGATTACAGGCATGAGCCACCGCACCTGGCCTGAATATTTATTAAATTCTATAGTGTATTCAAGGTACTAGGCTTAGATGCTGCCCTGTAATGTTAAGTATTGTCTGGATCTACAAGCGCAGCAACATGGTTCAAGACTGATTTCTGGTTCCAATCTTCTTTCCAAAAACTTGTTAGAGGAGTTTTTTTTTTTTTTTTTTTTTTTTTTGAGACAAAGTCTCTCACTCAGTGGCCAGGCTGGAGTGCAGTGGTGGTATGTCGGCTCACTGTAACCTCTGCCTCCCGAGTTCAAGTGATTTTCCTGCCTCAGCCTCCTGAGTAGCTGGGGTTACAGGCGGCTGCCACCATACCCATCTAATTTTTGTATTTTCAGTAGAGACGGAGTTTCACTATGCTGGCCAGGACGGTCCTGACCTCATGATCCATCTATCTTGGCCTCCCAAAGTGTTGCAATTACATGCTTCAGCCACTGCACCCGGCCAGGATCTTTAAATTCTATTAAAGGACCTGGAAATTTTATTGATCTGTATAATTTAAAACCATTTGGATCAGGCACAGTGGCTCACACCTGTTATCCCAGCACTTTGGGAGGCCAAGGAAGGAGGATCTGTTGGGGTCAGGAGTTTGAGACCAGCCTGGGCAACATAGAGAGACCCCCCCTCATCTCTACTGTTTTTTTAATATTTAAGAAAAGAGTAAATAAGTAAACAAAACCACTTAAAGCCAGAAGGGATCTTAGAGATTATTGGTATATAATAATGAGACCCTTTACTATTTAAAACTAAGCCCTAAAATAAAGTGCCCAGAACATGCAGTGGCAAAACCTATGAATAGATTAGAGGAGTCCAGCTTAGGACTCTTTAGCATTGCTTTCTCCTCTTCTTCAACATTTATTCATTTATTGATTCCTTTTTTTTGACATAGAGTTTCACTCATTTCCCAGGTTGTGGTGCAATGACGCGATCTCGGCTCACGGCAGCCTCTGCCTCCTGGGTTCAAGCGACCTGTCTTAGCCTCCCAAGTAGCTGGGATTACAGGTATGCGCCACCATGCCTGGTTAATTTTGTATTTTTAGTAGAGACAGGGTTTCTCCATGTTGGTCAGGCTGGTCTCAAACTCCCGACCTCAGGTGATCTGCCTGCCTCAGCCTCCCGAAGTGTTGCGATTACAGACGTGAACCACCGTGCCTGGCCTGTTGATTCCTTCTTATGCTCAAGGGCCAAACAATTTTAGAGCACAGCTATAGCTTTTGAGGGACTTAAGAGTCTAGTTTAATGGCAACATGGTAGAGAACACATTTGACTGAATTATTTCTTTTGAGTTAACAAGATAGTTTTACTAACAGCAGATTCGTTGTGATTTTTCTTCCCTGGTTGAATAGTAGTGGGCCCCATGGTGTAGTGAGAGGTCCTTGGCCTCTGGAATTGAACAGACCTAGGTCTACAGTGTGACTGCAAGGTCCCTAATATTCTTAAGTCTCCATTTCCTTATTTGTAAATGGGTCTAACAGCTAGCAAAGGTGTAGTAAGAATTGGTGATAATGACTGGCACAATGTAGGTAATAAACATATAGAGCTGTTAAAATGATGATGATGGGCTGGGCTAGGTGGCTCATGTGTGTAATACCAGCACTTTGGGAGTCCAAGGCAGGCAAATCACGAGGTCAAGGGTTCGAGACCAGCCTGGCCAAGAGACCAGTCTGGCTAGTATGGTGAAACTCCATCTCTACTAAAAATACAAAAATTAGCCAGGCCTGGTGGCGGGCGCCTGTAATCCTAGCTACTTGAGAGGCTGAGTCAGGAGAATTGCTTGAACCTGGGAGGCAGAGGTTGCAGTGAGCTGAAGTTCATACTGTTGCACTCCAGCCTGGGTGACAGAGCTCGGCTCCAACTTAGAAAAAAAAAAAAAAAGATGACGAATGTAAATTTCCTAGAAATGCTTGACATACATGTAGGTATATCATTTTAACAGGTGCTAAAATGTTAGTTTTCTCCTCTCCTGCTGTGTAAAGCTGGGTGGAATATTTTGATTTGTATTAAATTAATAGTTTATAGACTGGGTGTGGTGGCTTATGCCTCTAATCCCAGCACTTTGGGAGGTCGAGGTGGGAGAACTGCTTCAGCCCAGGAGTTTGAGACCAGCTTGGGCAACATAATGAGACTCCATTTCTACAAAAAAATAAAATTAGCTGGGCATGGTGGTGTGCACCTGTAGTCCCAGCAATCTGAGGAGCTGAGATGGGAGGATCACTTGGGCCTAGGACGCTGAAGTTGCAGTGAACTGTGATCGCACCACCACACTCCAGCTTGGGTGACAGAGTGAGATCCTGTCTCAAAATTAATTAATCAGTAGCTTATAAATTGAAATGACCAGATGCTAGGAAAATTTGCAGAGCTTTTGTCAACTGTGCAAATATGAAATAAGTCTATAAGGAATGGGGTTTTTTTCTTACTGAGTTTGGTAAATTTTCAGCATCATTATTGTGTAATGATATCATATCAAAGTTTGAGCAGAATTATAAATTCATACAAAGGTCTACAATTAGGTTGAGATAAAAAAAAAACAGTACTACTGGCTGGTGAGATGGCTCACGCCTATAATCCCAGCACTTTGGGAGACAGAGGCGGGTGGATTGCCTGAGCTCAGGAGTTTGAGACCAGCCTGGGCAACACAATGAAATGAAACCCCGTCTCTACTAAAATACCAAAAAATTAGCTGGTCGTGGCAGTGTGTGCCTGTAATCCCAATTACTTGGGAGGCTGAGGCAGGACAATTGCTTGAACCTGGGAGGCAGAGGTTGCAGTGAGCTGAGATCATGTTATTGCACTCCAGCCTGGGTAACAGAGCAAGACTTCATCTCAAAAAAAAAAAAAAAAAATTGTAATACTAATTTTGCATCTTATGGGTTTTTCAATGAAGCAATACAGGCTAATAAATCAACATTTTTAGTTGTAAAATACACTTAGTTAATAGTTTCCAATCATTAAGCAAAATTTAAGGCAATATTACTATATTTTAAAATTGCATGTTCAAAAGTTTAAAAACAGATGCTTGTATTGTAAAAGTGATTTATTAATGTTACATTAAAAAAATTGATCCCGGCCGGGCACGGTGGCTCACGCCTATAATCCCAGCACTTTGGGAGGCTGAGGCGGGTGGATCACAAGGTCAAGAGATTGAGACCATCCTGGTCAACATGGTGAAACCCTGTCTCTACAAAAAATACAAAAATTAGCTGGGCATGGTGGCGTGTGCCTGTAGTCCCAGCTACTCGGGAGGCTGAGGCAGGAGAATTGCTTGAACCCAGGAGGCGGAGGTTGCAGTGAGCTGAGATTGTGCCATTGCACTGCAGCCTGGGTAACAGGAGCGAAACTCCGTCTCAAAAAAAAAAAAATGGATCCAGTACTCTTGATCCAGTACTCTTTTTTGTTTTGAGATGGAGTTTTACTCGCTGCCAAGGTTGTAGTGCAATGGGGTGATTTCCGCTCACTGCAAGGCGGAGGCCTTCCTGGTTCAAGCAATTCTCCTGCCTCAGCCTCCCAAGTAGCTGGGATTACAGGTGCCCACCACCATGCCCAGCTAATTTTTGTATTTTTAGCAGAGATGGGGTTTCACAATATTGGTCAGGCTGCTCTTGAACTCCTGACCTCAGGTGATCTGTCCACCTTGGCCTCCCAAAGTGCTAGGATTACAGGTGTGAGCAACCATGCCCAGTCAATCCAGTACTCTTACGCTTTTGAGATAGGGTCTTGCTCTGTTACCCATGCTGGAACACAGTCGTGCAGGTCACTGCAACCTTGAACACCTGGGCTCAGCCTCCTTCATAGCTAGAACTATAGGCATGTGCTTTTTTCTGACTTTTAGTAGACATGAGGTCTTGCCATGTTGTCCAGGCTGGTCTTGAACTCCTGAGCTCAAGCGATCCTCCTACCTCAGCTTCCCAAAGTATTGGAATTACAGGAGTAAGCCATTGTGCCTGGCCCCAATCCTCCTTACACATTTTTTTTTTCATAGAGATGAGGTCTTACTGTGTTACCCAGGCTGTCTCAAACTCCTGGGGTCAAGCCATTTTGCCTCAGTCTCCAAAAATGTCGAGATTATAGGTATGAGGCACTGTGCCTGGCCACTTTATAAGAAATTGATATAAAATTTATTATCAGTTACAAAGATACAAAAATGTGTTTTAGGATATTGATAATTTTCCCTAAAGAAAAGACTAACAATGTAATTTAATATTTGATACACAGGAAAGTTTTCTGAAATTTTAAGCACTGGTTAAATAAATGAATGGAAGAAACAGTGAAAGACAAATTAAGTACATCTGAATCTCTCTAATAAAAAAAATTTTTTTTTTTTTGAGTCAGAGTTTCGTTCTTGTTGCCCAGGCTGGAGTGCAGTGGTGCAATCTCAGCTCACCGCAACCTCCGCCTCCTGGGTTCAGGCAATTCTTCTGCCTCAGCTTCCTGAGTAGCTGGGATTACAGGCACATGCCATGCCCAGCTAATTTTTTGTATTTTTAGTAGAGGCAGAGTTTCACCATGTTGACCAGGATGGTCTCGATCTCTTGACCTCGTGATCCACCCGCCTCGGCCTCCCAAAGTGCTGGAATTACAGGCATGAGCCACCGTGCCCTGCCATAAAAATTTCTTAATAGGAAAACCTCTTCCTAAATACAGTATATATCTATATCTATACACACACACACACATATATACTTTAATAGTTTTCTCATGTTGTATTTATAAAAGTGCAGTTTTTCTTTCCCTTGTGCCATTATAGAGCAGTGGGCCACCCTGTTTCCATTTACTTTCAGTAACCATTACCAGGGTATATATAAGTTCATAATTTTAAATATGTAAGTTCATTAAATGTGGTGATAGGTGAGAAAAAATATTTAAACATGAAGAGTGTAAGAGGTCACATCTGCCTTGACAGGTTGGAGGTTAAAACAACAAAGTTCCAGCTAACTTTACCATCTGTTTTATTAGTATGAAAATAAAAGTAAACACATAAGAGTTTTGTCAGTGCACACAAATAAGAGACATTCAGAAGTCAGTAAGTATAATGTTAAGACCGCAAAAATTAATGCTGTGCCCCTTAATAATATAACTCTTCAGGCTTATTTTTATGACTCGCGACTGTCTACCACCGGCCCTCCTAACTCCAATGCAGACCGAGTTTGGAGGTTCTCCAAAAACTTGCATATTTACATATTAAAACTACTTGACCACAACTACCTTTTTGTAACTGACTGCTTTCAAGTTCTTTGTGTGTTTAATTTCATTGAAACTGCATTACAAAACTGGTAAGGTTATTGACAAAAACAAAAAAGAACAAACTTTCATATGCAGTTGGCTACATTATATAATTTCAAATAAGATAGAATCAATTTGTAAACAAATTTAGTGGTGTGTTTTGGGAAATCTTTAAAATGACTTGCTTTTAACTACCATAGTTATTAGTGTATCTAATTCTAACAGTTAAGTTACTTTTCCCTCCTTAAAACAGGCCACAGGCTTATTTATTTTTATTTTAAGTAGATTATCTAGAGATCATGGATCTAGCAACTCATGTCTAACACAGTTAGAACTTAAAACCCAGGTATATAAAGATATTTCAAAGATTTATATACACATAATTCATAAGAAAGACCTTATGTAAGAACATACTTACTCTGATTTTAAAAGTCTTAGAAGTATGTGTAACACAGTTTAGAACCTTAACAAAAACTAAAATGTTTCCCAGGCTTCATAGTTTCAGAAAGTGCATATTAATTCATAGCAAAGGCACCAGGCTCTCCCTCAGGCATGTTATCTTTTATTTTACACAAAACTCCTATGAACTTGGTTGTCCGGATTCTTAACCTGTAGTGAATTACATAAGAAAGTGAAGAACTGGCTGAGGCAGGCAGATTACCAACTAACCTGACAGCAAGATAAGGTGGTAGAAAAGGTATGAGACATAGGTTTGAAAAACGGCAAATTGGGGCCATTTAGTGAAGCAGTAAATGCTCCCCATTAGCCCCCTGGAGACATCAATATATATGGGTCCAATATAATAGGCAAAATTAATAATGATGTCCACTAATTCTTTAAAAAACATTAAAAATAATAAGTATCTTGTTTTAAAAGTAGAGAAATATTTGTAAAGAACTATTTCTATTTAAAATGGTTACAATGAAATAAATTTTAGTGCTTAAAAAGATAAGCTTCAATTATGTGGATAATCCATTTGTGTGGACATCTTGTTTATTTTCCAATAATGTAGGATAAGATGAGGCATATCAAAATAACTCAAAATCATGGAACTAATCAATTCATGTATAATGATATGGTTCATCAGAATAAATGTCATGAATTTAAAAATCACCACCAATTCCTTTATTTTCTAGATTATATTCTTTTAAAGTTCCCTTTTCTCCTGTACTTGAGTATGCTATAAAATCGTGAACTCTTTCTTTTAGAACATCCAGTTCATTTTGCATCTTTAATATGCTATTATCATACTGAATTCCTTCAAGGATTTTCTGCATCTCCATTATTTCAGACACTGCTTTCAGCATATCATCTTCCATATTAAACATCTGCATAGTCAAGTCTTCCATTTTCTTTTCTGTTCCTATCAGATCCTGAGAGACTCTGAGAACTGAGTGAATAGCACTTTCAATTGTTGGCAAATGTGTCTTGCATTCTTCAACTTTGGGTTCATAGTCGGAAAGTTTATTAGTCAGATCTTCATCTCTGGCAAAGAGGGCATGCTGTTCCTCTTCTAACTTTTCAACTGTCTTTGTATCAGAGCCTAGCTGCTCCTCTACTCGCAGGAGATCTTCTTCTTCTTGTCTTTTTACTGTTCTAATATTTCTTAGTGTGCTGTCTTCCAAATCTTTTAGCCGTTCAGTGAGCAATTTTATTTCCTGCTCAGCCGAGTTAATTTGGACAGTTACTTGAGAATGTGTATGCTTTGCTTCTGATTTGAAAATGTCTGTATTAGCATTCATTTCTTCTAGGCTTCTCTTCCAGAAATCCGTAATATTCTGAAATTTCTCATTTAGGCTTTGTATCCTTTGAGTAAGCACCTCTTCATTATTTTGAATGTCATGCATGATATCTTGGAGGTTGGATACTTCCTGCTCAAACTGGGTCATCAAAGACATGGATGACGTAGCTTCCTGCAGGATGCTTTCGGTAGTCTCAAGCTGCATTTATAACACAAAACAATTTCCAAGGCTTCTTAATAATTTTCATATTAGAGAAACACACTTTAAGACACAGGAGTATAACACATGCCAAGTTAAAATTCTGAAGATGTCTAAAATGTCCAATTACATCAGAATCATACTGACAAAGACATTTATTACGTTAATAGTTTTCAGAAAGGTTAGCCCTGTGTCTTTTTTTATATTTTATTTTTGAGATGGAGTCTTGCTCTATCACCCAGGCTGGAGTATAGTGAAGCCATCTCAGCTCACTGCAACCTCTGCCTCTCAGGTTCAAAGGATTCTCCTGCCTCAGTCTCCTGAGTAGGGGATTACAGGTACGTGCCACCATCCTGGCTAATTTTTGTATTTTTTGTAGAGACGGGGTTTCACCATGTTGGCCAGGCTGGTCTTGAATCCTTGACCTCAAGTGATCCGCCTGCCTTGGCCTCCTAAAGTACTAGGATTACACCACGCCTGGCCAGCACTACGTTAAAAAAAAATACACCTGAACATATAATCCTAGGTATTTGAGCATTTCTATAGAAGCATATTCAAGAGAAAAATAATGTTAAAGGACCTGAAATAGATCACAATTTCCTCTTTTTAACTCCAATGGTAACTTTGATGTCATTCTTATTGTTATTTGGCTTTTTAGAAACTGCAACATTATATAAAATTTTATATCTTTACTAAATCCTACAGTTCTGGAAGGACTTCTGCCCCCCAAAAAAAATTTCCACCAACCTCTTGCAGAGAAGGTACTAGAATCAGGTCTTACAGATACAAAGGCAAAAACAATTAAAAAACAGTTTAGTGAGACAAGTCAAATGGAATGGTAGTGTTTTAAGTATTTTTAAATTATGCTAAGCCCCTGACACCTCCTGATCTGTATCTGGAATACAGAAGGCCAAGTCATAGACCTCTTTTAGTCTACACTTAGATAACAGCTTTAGAGACTACAGAAAAGCCTAGAAATGACCATTAATTTATCATGTGCTTACAGCATTATGATGAAGACATAATACTGAGCAAGATACACTTCTGCCCCTAAGCAGCTTAGTTTAATTGATGAGAAAGACAAATGTTTATGCACTATGACAGGGGAAGAGCTATGGAAGCATTTAGGTGGAGATCCAACCTAGACTTCAGTGATGAAGGACAGTATTTTAGAAAAAGCAATATTTAATATCTACTTCCAGTTGCTTGTTCTCTAAATTAGGCTACACACTACTACTAGAGTAAGCATGTTGGCTAGGCTTGTATCTTAACTCCTGACCTCAAGTGATACGCCTGTCTCGGCTTCCCACAGTACTGGATTACAGGCACGAGCCACTGCTCCTGGCTTAGGCTAGCCATTCTTAAATGCATATACATATATCCTTAAAAAGTAGAAAATAAGGGAAAAAATAGATCTTTTCCCAATAAGTGCTATTCATGTTCTAATTTTATGTCCAAAGATCAACCATATTTTCAGATGAGACCGAGTGCATTCAGGATAGTATGCCATAGACATGATCAACCATATTTTCAATGCTCTAGATACCTGGCACATAAGTAGAAAATTAACATCATGCCAATATGAACAAATTGGTCTTTTTCAACACTAGAAATTGTCATATTAAAAAATCCTTGTCCTTCAAATTGCAATCTGAGTCAAAATGGATCAGAGGGAGAATGGCAAGAGGTAGGAAGATCAGTGAGAGTTAAAATAGTAATAGTCTAAAAGGCAGGAAGAAAGAAGTTTGAGCTGGGATAAGGAAATGACAGTGGGGAAGTAAAATGGGAAAAACATCCCAGATAAGCCAATTAATAACTACCTTTTCCGAAATTAAACTGATTTTACTTTGAAGTCCTTGGAATTCATTGGCTTCTAATTTCAGTAACTGATACTGGTTTTCCACCTTTGCAAATTGTTCTGACTGCTGAAATACAAACCTGGAAAAGAAAAGAAAAATCACTACTCTGCAATTCATATCCATTTAAATCTGAATTTCAAAGGATAATTATACCTACTTCTGTTAAGAACAACATAAATTCTGGTATGGGTAGTTGTATTTTTTTTTCTTTTTCACAGACAGGGTCTCACTCTGTCACCCAGGTTGGAGTGCAGTGTCACATCATAGCTCCCTGCAGCCTTGAACTCCTGGGCTCAAGTGATCCTCCTACTCTAACCTCCCAAGTAGCTAGGACTGAAAGCTGGTTAATTTATTTTTTCTTTGTAGAGACACCATATCGCTATGTTGCCCAAGGTGGTCTTTAGCTTTTTTTTTTTGAGACGGAGTTTTGCTCTTGTTGCCTAGGCTGGAGTGCAGTGGCATGATCATCGGGTCACTGCAACCTCTGCTTCTTGGGTTGAAGCAGCTCTCCTCCGCAGTCTCCCAAGTAGCTGGGATTACAGGAGACTGCCACCACGCCTGGCTAGTTTTTTAAATATTTTTAGTAGAAATGGGTTTTCACTATGTTGGCTGGTTTTAAACTTCTGACCTCAAGTGATCCGCCTGCCTCAGCCTCCTAAAGTACTAGGATTAGAGGCATGAGCCACCGTGCCCGGCCCCAAGGTGGTCTTGAATTCCTGGCCTCAAGTGATCCTCCCACCTCAGCCTCCAAAAGCGCTGGGATTACAAGTGTAGGTCAACATGCCCGGCCTAAATACAGCTTTTATCAGTTTATTTTGACATATTTTTATGTGGTAGGTACTGGTTTAACTCATGCAAAGATGGGTAAAGCACTGCCGTTTTTCACAGTTCACAGCCCATGGAATAAGATGGTGTGATATCTGTAATAGATGCATGCACAAGAAATATTTTAGAGGACGACACAGTGAACAATTTAGAGTAAGATCTTTGATCTCAGCCCGGTGCGGTGGCTCATGCCTGTAATTCTAGAACTTTGGGAAGCCGAGGTGGGTGGATCACCTGAGGTCAAGAGTTCAAGACCAGCCTGGCCATAATGGTGAAATTCATTTATGAATTCAAAGCATTACCACTTTTGCAAGGATGCACAAAGCTCGGATAACTGCATTTAGAAAAGTCTTTCACCTCTCCATTAAGCCTTGGGATCTTTAAATGATTGCCTTTCAGTGGAAATTAATTTCACAAAACATGGTCAATCAGTAAAAAAAAAAAAAAAAAAAAAGGTCTTTGATCGCTACTGTTTTTCACAAGGCCATATTTGGGTAATATCTAGAAAATAGGTGTTTTTATGCTGAAATGTAGGAGAAACAAGACTTATCTATAAAAGAGTATTTTAAAACAAATGAAGAAGAGTACACTGATGAAAAGCAGTGGAGAGGAAGAGAGAAGTGATAGTAATTAGATGTTGCAAAATAGCAGGGTGTGTGAAAGAGGTATAAAAATAAAAAAGAGCCATTGTCAAAGTGGCAATAGATCACGATCAGTGCAAAGTGTATAAACTGTACAATTAGTTGTACTCAACGACATGACTTGTATAGGTGTACTTGAGATGTCATTCTAAAATTGGAGTTTATTCTTCATCACTGGTGGAAGCATAAAAAGCTACCTCAATCTTTAAAACAACAAATCAACATCTATTTATACAGGATTTGAAATAGCTAGCACAAAAGAATTGCCTTGGATCTAATACCATTTTGTCTACTTTAACTCAATTCTTCAAGCTCAGAGAAAAACAGTTAAAATTCTTTGCATATTGAGTCTTCAAAAAGCAATGCAGCAGAACTATGAGAAGTATCTCCCTAAATCACAGTCCACAGACAAGTGATTCAAAAGCTTTGCTATATTTTTTAATCGCCTGGCAACTTTAACAAATCTGATGTCTGAGTCTCACGAAGATTCTAATTTAATTGGTTTGAGATGTGGCTTGGATGTTGGAAGCTCAACAGCCTCCCAGGTAATATAAGTGCACAGTCAAACTTAGAACCATACTGATTGACCATGTTTCGTGAAATTAATTTCCACTGAAAGGCAATCATTTAAAGATCCCAAGGCTTAATGGAGAGGTGAAAGACTTTTCTAAGTGCAGTTATCCGAGCTTTGTGCATCCTTCCAAAAGCGGTAACGCTTTGAATTAATAAATGGCATCATTAGGCTAACTGTAGCTACAAAACTGTCCAAAGCTAAACTAGACAAATGTTTACAATATCGGAGGAAACAAATTTCTTTTGATGATGGTGGTTACTTTCTATCATATGGCATCCCAGGTTACATTATTAACACAGATCGACTTTTCTCCTGTGTTTAAATTAATAGGAAGCTTTAAAGCTTCTGGTTATTAGAAAACACTATTATCCTAAATCTCAAAGATGGAAGGGTGAACATAATTATTTTTTCATTGGCTGTTTCATTTCTGGCTAAGAGTTTTTTTTTTTTTTCCTTCCAGAGTATAGGATATCTGAGACCAGCAGATAGAGACCCTATTAAGAAAGAGACCACCCTAAAAAAATAGAGTTGCCTTCCCCACACCTTCCTGATCCTTCCTGCCCTCCCCCAACAAAAAAAAAGAGGAAGAAAAAAAAGAAATACAGTTAATTTCAGGGACTAATTTTATTATTCAATACCCCACCATAGATCTATACTATAGAGTAGCAAGTTTATTCAGAATGAAATCATTATCATAAAAGAGACTTTTGTATGAAAGTTGATTCACTACAAAAAATACATTAAAGAACTTACTCAGGACTTTTCAAATTCAAGCTTTAAACAAAACCTGCGTCATGTTAGTGGAAATATCATCTCTGATGATAATTAGTAGGTTTTTTTGGATGGTTAGCCTCTTACTAAAATAAAATTAAAAAATTCGGCCGGGCATGGTAGCTCATGCCTGTAATCTCATCACTTTGGGAGGCGGAGGCAGGTAGATCACAAGGTCAGGAGATCAAGACCAACCTGGAAGGTAGATCACAAGATCAGGAGATTGAGACCATCCTGGCCAACATGGTGAACCCCCCCCACTAAAAAAAAAAAATACAGAAATTAGCTGGGCATGGTGGTACGTGCCTATAATCCCAGCTACTTGGGAGGCTGAGGTAGGAGAACCGCTTGAACCTGGGAATTGGAGGTTGCAGTGAGCCAAGATCGTGCCACTGCACTCCAATCTGGTGACAGAGAGAGACTCCCTCTCAAAAAAAAAAAAAAAAAAAAATTCATCCTTGCTACATATGAACAGTGCATATTAAAAAAAAAGTACAAAGCTGACTTAGCACTAGTGATGAAAAGTGGTCTGTGCAGTGCTGAGTTAAAATAGATTTCATTTTTCACTTACATGTGCCAGACACTATTCTAAGTACTTTATAAATATTAATTCTTCATTTAACATTAATGAAGAAGATGATTGGCTTTTTTTTTTTTTGAGATAGGGTCTTACTCTGCCACCCAGGCTGGAGTGCAGTGGTGTGATCTCGGCTTATTGCAACCTCCACCGCCTGGGTTCAAGTGATTACAGGTGTAAGCCATTGCACCAGGCCTACATGACTGATTTTCAAAAGTCAAGAAAATATGCTGAGAAGGCTGCTTCAGTTCTGAAAAACTAAGCTTTCAAACTGGCATTCATGTCAGTGTGTAAGGTGCTTCATTTCCTTTTTATGAGTTGGGGCATATATATTTTTCTTAATTGTATTTCAAGTTCTGGGGTACATGTGCAGAATGTGCAGGTTTGTTACATACATATACATGTGCCATGGTGGTTTACTGCACTCATCAACCCATCATCTACATTAGGTATTTCTAATGGTATCCCTCCCCTAGTCCCCCACCCAGTCAGAGGCATTATTTTAAGAAGAGCAATTCCCAGTCTTGCCATTTAGATGAGGGTAAAAAACAGGCAATTAGGTTCTGCTAAAGGGTATACCTTCTAGTAGAAGGAAGAAAAGAACTGTAAGTAATTCTGGACTTGGGGATTTCTATTTCTAGGCTCTTGGCCTTTCTTTGGGGATTAATATCAAATGGAGGCCACGAATCATACTGGTTAGGTAGGTGACTGGAATACTTCAGCTTTGCCATTTACTAAGCTGTATAACCACTTTGGGCAAGTTAAATAACTTTGATGTTTTGTCATCTGTGAAGTGAGGATAATAATACCTTATTTTGTTATTTGTTTTCATTTTTTTGAGTTGGAGTCTCGCTCTGTCACCCAGGCTAGAGTGCAGTGGCATGATCTCAGATCACTGCAACCTCTGCCTCCAGGGTTCAAGCAATTCTCTTGCCTCAACCTCCCAAGTAGCTGGAGGCCATAGGCGTGTGCCACCACGCCCAGCTAATTTTTGTATTTTTGGTAGAGATGGGATTTTACCATGTTAGTCAGGCTGGTCTCCAACTCCTGACCTCGTGATCTGCCCACCTGGGCCTCCCAAAGTGCTGGGATTACAGGCATGAGCCACTGTGCCAGGTCTAATTTTATTTTTTTGACAAGATCTCGCTCTATTTCCCAGGGTGGAGTGCAGTGGTGTGATCACGGCTCACTGCAGCCTCCCAGCTCCAATCCATCCTCCCACCTCAGCCTCCTCAGTAGCTGGGAATACAGGCATGTGTCATAATGCCTGGCTACTTTTTAAATTTTTTATAGAGATGGGGGTCTTCCTATGTTGCCCAGTCTTGTCTTGAACCCCAGGACAAGTAATCCTCCTGCCTTGTCTTCCCAAAGTGTTGGGATTATAGATGTGAGCCATAGCACCCAGTCAATACTTTGTAGGGTTATAGTTTGTTTTTCAATAGGGTCTCATTCTGTTTCCCAGGCTGGAGTGCAGTGGCCTGATCATACCTCCCTGCAGCCTTGAACTCCTGGGCTCAAGTGATTCTCCCACCTCAATCTCTCGAGTAGCTAGGACCACAAGTACACTACTACCACTGGCTAATTAAAAAAAAAATTTTTTTTAAGAAATGAGATCTGGCTGTTTTCTTTTTTCTTTTTTAAGGCAGCTGAAGAGGAAGAGGTCTACAGTGACGCAATCATAGTTCACTGCA